TTTCTTATGATGACTCACCCAAGATGACTGCAAGTGGCCTCCCCGACTTCAACAACCCCATGCCTGAGTTTGGCTACATTGACGACGATGTTCACACCAACCCCTCAGTTGTCCAAGAGCGTCTTGATGGCGAGCACCGCGATGATGCTTCTGAAGGCCGAGCAACTCCTATCCCCCGAAATGTTGCCGAGCAACACGCTGAGAGTGCTGCCAGCAGTCACGGACCTGGTGCCGCTCAGGTTGCCGGTGCTGCTGCATTGGGCGCGGCTGCTGGAATGGCTGCTGCCAACGCTCACAGCCGTGAACCCAGCCAGGACCAAGATGAGTGGCAGCGGACCTCCGACGACCGCAAGCGAGACACTCTTGTCACAAACCCATACGAGGACACCAGTCCTGTCGCCAACCCTGCCCTGAATGACAACCTTCTGGGAGCCCGGGATTTCGGAGCCCCTTACCACACCGGAAGTCCTGGTTTCGGCCCCAAGTATGACGAAGGCTATATGTCTAACGGCAATAACCGAACTCCCGATCTCCAGCCCAAGGGCAAGGCTCTTCAGCTGTCTCTGCCCGGATCTCCAAACGATGCTGGTCAGGATCCCTTCTACGCCCCCAAGGACGCTCGTCACCTTAGTGGCATGTCTCAAGGCATGGCATCGCCATTCTACGACGCAGCCACTGGCCAAGGAATTGACCGCATCGAGAACAAGGACATTGTTGCTCTGATGCAGCACCTCATGGTCCGAGATGCTCAGCGTAGTGCCCGCGACACGGAAATCGTTGCACTGCTGATGAACTCTGCTCTTGAGATGCGAACTTCTTTGAATGAGCTTAGAAACCTCGTCCAGGACACTAGTGACGATGTCATTTTCGCAGGTGTTGAGAACACCGAGAAGCTTCAGAAGGCAATCAATGGCCCTCGCCCCTACCCTGGAGCTCGATCGGTTCAGAGTATCTCCCAGGTTGACACTTTCAACGAGGCCGCTGCTAAGAAGAACCTATTCAAGCGAGCTTTCCAGGGCCTCAGCAACAAGGGTACCAGTGACTTCAAGCGCATTGAAGAAATCCTCATGCAGATTCTCGGCGAGGTTGACGAGCTCAAGGGACAGAGCACCGTCCCCCCTGTTTCCACCAGTGGTGGCCGTGGCCCCTCCTTCGACAACCTGCAGCCTGAGGGTCACTTCGAGCAAGATCGAGGCTATGAGCCTGAAGGCAACTCGACAATCACCCCCAGCCAGTCTGGACACTTCTCCCTCTCCCACTCCCGATCTCGTCTTGCCAACGAACGCAAGTTCTCTGATAACCGCATCAGCACTGTTGCTGAGCATGAGGATGAATACGAACACGCCCACCCTAGCCCGACTGGCGAGCGCAGCAACCCCAATATGCTGACACCAGAACGATCAGGCTTCCAGCGCGGAAGCTCTGTTCCTCTTGATACCCCCCCTCAACCGTCTGGTGTTTCTCAACCAATGAGCAACGAGAACACTCCGCGTACAACAGAGAAGCAAAAGAAGCACAAGTCCGGTCTTTCGGGCTGGTTCCCCAAAATTTCCAGGTGGTCTGGAACGACAGCCTCTAGCGCCGGCAAGGGCAAGAAGGAAGCCAAGTATGATGACTACCCTCCCTCGCGCTCAGGCTCTAGCCTAGGCGAGTACAACGATGGGGACTACAGTCATGCCCCGTATGCAGAGGACCAGCTACATACCGGATTCTCTCAGCAGGAGCTCGCGTCGGCGCCCAATGCCAGTGATGCAATGCCAGCGCCCCTCCGCCGCGAAATCAACCATACTCCAGGCAATGCACCTAAATATCAGGTTCACCGAAACTCACTGAACCTTCAACACCCTCAGCCCAGACAAGGCCAGACAGAGCGCTTCCGCAATGCTCTGGAGTTCTCTGCTCAAGAGTACAACGTCCCAATGACGCCTAGGTCAGCAGATTGGGGTGGTTCGGTTTCGAGCTTGAACCAGATGGCTCAGAACACCAACCGATACAGCCAGGCATCATCGACAGGTGCTCCTCAGGACCCTGCCTATTGGACTACATCTCCAACTGGCCCCCCTCGACCTCCCAAGGAGCCCATCGAGCCTACCGGTAGCCCCTCAGCTCTGTCCCCCCCAAGGGGCAGCCGCATCTCCAAGCTGGCCAAGGGTAGCCCCGCCCCCCACCCCAGTGATGAAAGCGGATATGCTACTATGAGTGGCACTCATGTCAGCCACCTTACAAGCAGCCCCAAGCCTGAGAACCGTAACCTCAATGCTGCCTTGGGTGTTCCTACTCGACGACCTAGTGGGCCACGGGCTATGACCCCCAAGAGCCCCGAGGATGAAGCTCGCCGACGCAAGCGAGGTAAGTTGCATCTGATCCGTATCTGATAGTCATGTCGCTAACCTTCAAAATAGATACTTTCGGCAGTGTTGCATCTCATAACACGGATGACACAGAGACCTTTTAGAAAGAGGATCACCGTGATAGCCGTCCATTACCGGGATGCTGATCGATATCTTATCAAAGAATGATATAGTGCTTTGCTTTTCTTGACATCATTCTTCACCCTACTCCTGTAGGTTCTGGATGGTGGTCAACTGTATGAACTTTTTATGGACATGAAACGGCCTTCAAGCGGATGACTTTGCTATTAGCGAAAAAGGCAGCTATAGACCGAAGGGGTGGCTAGCTGAAACAGCGGCGAGATGAAGGGCTTAATAAAGAACGAACAACCAAACAATCAAGCAAGCAAAAAAGGATATCAGGTGTTGAAAAATACCAAAAAAAAAAAAAAAGAAAGGGGAAAAAAGCTGGAGGAAAGGAACATATTTGCATACAGGGGCTTTTGCTTCAATTCTTGACGACGACATGACATGGCTTTCTTACTGCAGAGCGATACGTCAATGGTTTGATTTGCGAGCAATGATTTTAACTCGGATTGGATATTATGAGCGGAAAGGGGATGGATGCTATGATAGGATAGCACAAGCACAAGTGGATGAACATGATGTGCGTGGACATATTTCAAGTTAGATAGTTGGTGTTTTTAGTTGTTTGGCTTTGTGAGTGTGAGATAGATACCATACCACCCATATCGGTTGTAATTGGGAACGGAAGGAATGCAATTGATATGAATCCGAAAGGATACCACCACAATATTAGTTTTCTATGGACGTCAAATAATCACTTCTCAAGTCAACGTTGTAGAATGGATTCAACATAGTCTAGGCCTTCACTAATAAGTTAGTGTTTGGGGTATTCTCAGTAGAGGTTTTAGCGTATGGGTACGGCCCCAGAGTATCCGGGGAAAGGCTTCATAGTCCGGAGACTAACTACCAACTAAAGGTCCCCTTGAACTAAAGCCTTCCAGCTACGCTCGTCGCTCCGACTTCGGTGAAGAAGTATCAGTGCAAAAGCCCCCAGGTTCGGCGAATAACGATCTTCAAAAAGTTGTATGCGTCAGCATTCGACTTCTGAATCGGGGACTCTGACATCTCTTTAATCTGAATGTTTCCATATCTACGAGACTTTATTATCTTATCTTTCTCTAATATCTTTTTGGCCCGAACTGAAGCTTCGTGATTACATCGCTGAGCTGGAGCACCAGTTCTTTCAAAAGTGCTGTTCACTACCTTGAAACGATTTATGACGAATAGACTCTTGAGAGCCAAATTACATACACAATGGCTGCAGACGTGCAAGGGAAGAACATGTTGAACGAGACAGAACCTATCAAGATAAAGGTAAAGAAGACAAATAACGTCAGTGGTGGAAGCGGTGCACATGATTACAAAGGCTTTGTAGCGGGTGTCTTCAGCGGCATCGCCAAGCTCTCAGGTGTGTTTCTTATCATGCCGGCTGGAGATGCAAATACTGACTGACTTTTTACAGTTGGTCATCCGTTTGATACTATTAAAGTCCGTCTACAAACGACAGACCCAAGTCGCTTCAGTGGCCCTTTGCAATGCGTCACACAGACTATTCGCAATGAGGGCTTTCGTGGGCTCTACAAGGGCGCAACGCCGCCTTTGGTTGGATGGATGTTCATGGACTCGGTCATGTTGGGTTCGCTCACCGTCTATCGCCGTCTTCTCTCAGAACATGTCTTCAACGTTGAACCAGTAGGAACCGACGTTACGGCATCTTCACCAGGGACAGCACCAAAGGGTCACACAGCGCTACCTAGTTTCGGCCATGGTATTGCGGGAATAATGGCTGGCTCAACGGTGAGCTTCATCGCCGCACCAGTCGAGCACGTCAAAGCACGATTGCAGATTCAGTACGCAGCGCAAAAAGCCGACAGACTATACGCCGGGCCGATTGATTGTCTGCGCAAGATCTACCGATATCATGGTATCAAGGGCGTATATCATGGCCTCTCAGCGACCCTTCTCTTTAGAGGATTCTTCTTCTGCTGGTGGGGTAGCTACGATATCTTATCTCGACAACTACGCGAGAAGACAAACCTCAGCGCACCGGCAGTGAATTTCTGGGCGGGCGGCCTCAGTGCGCAGGTGTTTTGGCTGACTAGTTATCCGAGTGATGTAGTCAAGCAGCGTATCATGACAGATCCGCTGGGAGGTGGACTCAACGATGGAGTCAGGAGATTTCCTCGTTGGAAGGATGCAGCGGTTGCTGTGTATAGGGAGGGAGGTTGGAAGGGATACTGGAGAGGGTTTGTTCCATGTTTTCTGAGGGCGTTTCCGGCGAATGCCATGGCGTTGGTTGCTTTTGAGGGTGTCATGAGATCGTTGCCATGAGGAGGCACAGACATAATGATATAATAGCATGAAACATACCCTTGGCCGCTTATAAGAAGCGACAGCATCATCAAGTTAATTCATGAATCCGACGTCTACAAGTCACTGAGATTGGGTAGAGAAGATATGAACACCACAAAGAGTGCCACATAAAATGGCTGGGTCTATTGGCCGAGTCCTTAAAACTTTTTGTTATCCCCTGTCCCAATTCACCAATCCATTCCTGCGCCGTTGCAATGCAATTTGATTCGTTTACTCGTCGTCCTCGTCAGCCTCGTCGTTAACGACGTTGAAGAACTTGAGCTCGTAGACACCTCGGGAGGTAGAAACGACGCGGAGCCAGTCACGGAGCTGCTGCTTCTTGAGGAACTTCTTGGTCCTGCTCACAGTTAGTATGTTGTTGATGCATATCCCTGTGCTTCATCGAGCGAAGCCAAGACGTAAAAACACGTACAGGTACTTGAGGTAACGACCAGAGAGCTCGTTGTGGGCGGTGATCTCGATCTTGCCCTCGCCGGACTGCTTGACAACAACGTTGTCGCCAAGGTTGTTGGTGCGGCCCTCAACCTTGATGCGGTCCTGGAGGAACTTCTCGAAGGCAGAGACGTCGAAGATCTTGTCGCTGGCAGGCTGAGAAGCATCGATGATGTACTGGTAGGATTAGTTAGCGATGGTGTTCCTCGTGGAGTGTGTCGGGTGAAATCGTCGTCGCAATCGTCGTCTTGGAGTCGATTTCGGGTTGGGTATCGCGTACCTTCTTGGTCTGCTTCTGGGCCTTGCCCGACTTCTTCTGTTGAAAAATGACCTTAGCCTACTGCATTCTTTTACGGCTCCTCTCCTCTATACGGGAGAGGGCCTAACAGCATAGCGATGTCATGTACGTACTGCCTGAGGAGCCATTGCGAATGGAATGGATTTGTGTGTCTGAAAAGGGACTGTGGTGTTTTTGTCGCAAAGAAGTCTAATCCTGCGCTTGAAGGGGGAGAAAGAAACAAGGTAAAAGTTGAGGCGCCTGTAAGGTATATTCTGTGGGTTCAATTAGGGCTCTGGACGGATTATTTTTTGTGCGGGGTGGAACAAAAGGTCACGTGACCGTCATGGACATATGCCATTGAGTTTCACGACATCAACTACCTCCCTAGAGTTGGTGGCTTCATTGATTGGAATTGCGGCAGTGAATAAACATTTGCATTCGGACTGATTTGAATTAAGCTGGGAGGCTCAAAGCTTGTATCTTAACTGCCCGACCGCATAATGCCTACTCATCATGCGTAGTCTATGACCCAACTATCTATACTTATAGTTTTATCATGACGTTTATACTTCTTAGACGGAGAACTTGCGAGATCTTGAAGAAGCACTCGCAGAAATGGTTGATATGATCTTTATGTGATGGGTTCAAATCAGTCAAAAGCTGAGACAAGATACCTAGGTCTTAACCATGCAAAGACTATGATTGGCTGTGTAACTCTATGGTGAGACTAGACTATCCAACTCTTGTCAACCACCATCAAGTCCCCTTTCAAACAAATCCAAATTCATGACAGTTACATGAACACCCCTTCTCCCCACCATCACTGACTCTCTGTTCAGTTGATCTTCTGGTTTTTTTCATGAAGAATAGGATCGAGCTTCTTCTGGAACTTTTCAAGAAGCATGTAGCGATAGCCCATGTAAAGATGGCTCAATCGCTTGCGCTGCTCCTTTTCGTCCCCTTCCTTATGCTGCGCCGCCATCTGAGTATCCTCCGGATACTGATCGTCCTTGAGGATCGGGTCGAGGTCCTTGCGAATAGCCTCGACGAGCATGCCACGGTATTGCATGTAGAGCTCTGAAAGACGCTTCAACTGCCCAGCCTCGTCACCATCAGCAAGCATCGGGATTTTGTTTTCCTCCTCCTCCTCCTCCTCCTCCTCCTCCTCCTCCTTCTTCTCTTCTTCTTCTCCTTTTCCTTCCACTTTATTCTCTTTACCCTCTTCTTGCTTCTCCCCGTCCTTGTCTTTGGCTTGTTGCTTTCCTTCAACTTCCTCAACTTCCTCTTCTGGACCATAATTTTGCTTGCAGCCCTTCTTGTCGTCGCACTTGTAGACCTTGTACTCCTTTGTGATCACGTAGATGGGATTTCCCCCCTTCTCAATGGGTGAGTGGTGACCTTTGTCTCCGAGTTTCTCCTCGATTTGGTCTCCAATTTTCCCATAGAGTTTGTCTTCGTACTTCTCAAGGGCGGCTTTGTCAGTATCCTCTTGTTTGACAGCATCGGTCTTGTTGTCTTCCTTATCGTGCTTGTGTGTCTTGCCATTTTCGTGCTTCTTTTCGTCTTTATCCTTATCCTTCTCGTTTTTGTCCTCCTTCTGCTTATGCTTGTCATGCTCTTCGGTGTTTTTGGATTCCGAACGCTTCTTAGGGTTGTGGCTCGAAGCATGTTTCCCAAAATCTTCTTTGCGAAGGATCTCCTCATGGCTCAGGCCCTGTACCTCTCTCGCCGCCTTCTCCCTCTGCGCCCTCTCAAGCTCCTTCTTGGCGTCATCCAACCATTTTTGTTGTATGCGTGCGTAACTATGAGCTCGATTGTGCACCGAATAGACATGTTTCAAAACGAGCCTCTTCCCCTCAAGGGCTTTCCGTGCCTCCTCGAGTCTATTTTCCATTTCCTTCAACTTGATCATTGCCCTTTGAAAATCTGTGGCGTTGTGGTGTAACACTCTTTCCCATCTATGTGCCGTTTTCCACAGCCTCTCGCACCGTCTCTCGAGGTATAGCACTTCCTTCTCTTTGTCTTTAAGAAGCAACTCCTTATCTTCCTCTTCTTTGTGACGACGGAGCAGCTTGGGCTTTTCAATCGTGTTAACCTCACGATCGCTGAGATCCAAATCATGGTCAGATGTGTCTGCTTCACGATCAGAAGGATCGGCGTGGTGGTGATGAGGGCCTTCAGTGGTGAAGGCCGGGGCGGCTGCAGCGGTTGAAGCTGGTCTGGTTGTCGTAATGGTTGTGGTGGTTGTTGTTGCGCGTGGGTTTACAGCCGAAGAAGCCGCTGAAACAGAAGCGCTGCCACTCTCGACGTCACCAGAAGAGGGAGTAACGCTAGTGGTAAGGGTAGAAGTTGCAGTGACTACAGCTATTGGTGTTGATGTTGATCCGGAGGTGACTGGTCCGGCTGAGGCTGTCGAGGTAGCAAGAGCTTCGTTGTCAGAGGAGCTTGTACCAGACACAGTAACGGTACTGGTGGTAGAGGCTACTACTCCAGGAGGGACGGTTCCTCCACCAGGATAGATGGTGGGCAATTCAGCGAGTACGCTGTTCAGCCTGGTAGAAGCAGATGACCATGACCTTCGGAAGCTGATGTAGCTCTTCAGGCGACAGGGAACTGCCGCTGATGGCCCAGCCAAGCCCACTAGGAAAATGAGATCAAGACGCATCTTGAAGACAAAAATTGATCTGACAAGTTGAGTTGCTGACTTGGTGGGTGTATCTTGTGCAAGGCCAGAGCCAGCGACAAGGCCAGGCGCATATTATATAGACCCAAAGGGAATTCATTTTTGGACAAGATCTGACAGAGAGTTTTTGGATCAAAGCCTCTTTTGCAGAGTGTCTGGAACACTCTGCCAATAATACCATTCCTCAGTGTTAATACCGGCATGGTGATCCCCTCACTCAACTGATGAGGGGTATAGTCGAACCACTTAAACATCTGCCAAACAAGCCCAATCCCAACAATTCCCTGATTACATCGCCAATAAAGCCACGGAATAACCATATCAAGTCCACCCGGCTAGCCCGGCCATATCGCAGCCAAGTTCCCCTCAATTCCATAAAGTCATTTAAGAAGAGGCAGCAGAAACAGCACCCCGATGACGAGCACATTTATAAAACGAATCGTAAATTGTCGTCAATCTATATGGCAGTTATGGCGTGAGAAAACATGTCTGTCGTGATTCCAGAGAAAGCATATCATCATAACAACAAATCCAACCCCCCCCCCCCCCCCCCCCCAATCGTCACATATACATATATACGTAAAGAATATCATCAAAATACAAAACCGAAGTTAAGACAATCTGTCCTTTCTCTCGTTCTTGGCTGCTTAAGACTTGCTAAACAGCTTTTTGAACGCACCTTTGATGCCCGATGGCTTCTTATCTTCCTCCTTCAATTGCGCTCTGCGTCGTTCTTCGTGTCGTGCTTTGCGTCGAGAGTCCTCTGTGTCCATCCTGACGTGTTTGGTAGGTCGAGGCTCTTGTTCTCTGTCTCTGTCTCTGTCTCTATCTCTGTCTCTATCTCTGTCTCTCGTCTTACTCTTCTCCCTGTTTCTCTCCCGTTCCCTGTCTCTGTCTCGAGTAGATTCAGGGGCAGGCTCCTCACGTGGGCGGCGCGAGGATCGAGGACGTGGTTCATCGGTAGACGGGCGAGCGCGTCTATGACGTGTCGAAGACCGTTTAGGTGAGTCCTCCAGCGGGACCTCTCTCGTTCGTTCCCTGACAGGTTCAGCGATCACGGGCTCCTCATGTGGTGGTGTGGTATTGCCCAAGACACCTTCTGAGTTCTTAACAGCAAAGAACTTCTTTTCAGGCACAGGAGCAGGGGGGATGGACTCCTCTCGAGGACGTTCCCTGGGTTCTTCATATCGAGGTCTCTCAGAGTGACTATGCCGACGCGAGCGGCGATGTCGTCGATCCGGCTCGGGTTCAGGCTGAGGCTCAGGTTCAGGTTCTGGTTCACGGACAGGCTCTTTGCCCTTGCTCTCCCTTTCCTCTCGATATCCCGAGGGTTCACGCCTTCCGCCAGCTTCTTCTCGTGCTCGCCGTTCTGCTCTTTCTGCTTTTCGTTTGTCATGGGCAGCTTGTTCCTCAGGGGTTCGACGTTTGTGACCAGAGCTTCCAGAACTATTGTCGGCAGAAAAGCCACTATCTCGTCGCGGTGTTCTGGGTGGCGTGCCTGGGGGGCCCGATTCGACCGTGTCGGATCGATGGCGTCGATAAGGATGAGTACCAGATGATCGCCGCCTGCGCTCTCGGCCCTCATCTTCCTGGGGAGGGGCACGTGAAGCTGGTTCTTCAGCCCTCCTAGATTCGCGTGGTCGGGAGTCCTCGTCTCGGCGATACCCTCTGCTTCTTGGCTCTTCGGGAGCGCGAGAGCTCCTGAGCTTAGCTTCAGCCTCACCACGTGAGTCACGAGCTTGCGTTTCGTCTTCTTCACGATGGCGACGATATCGAGACTCGCCCTCGCGGTGAGACAGTCGGCGGTGGCGGCCCTCGTCTTCCTCCCGAGACCGATGAGCTCGCCTCTCGTCATCGCCGCGATACCTGCGCTCTCTGTCCTCCTCACCACGGCTTCCGCTGGAGCGGTTCGAGTGATGGGAATGTCGGCGCCTACGAGGTCTATCTCTGTCTCTATCGTTTCGCGACGAGTCAGATTCTCTGCTCCTGTCGTCTGCAAACAAGTCAGCATTAGACTTGTGAAGTTCTTCGATCTCATCATCAAAGCTCCTCGGGGAAGGAGAAACAGCTGGAAAATTGTAATCATTGGGCTCTGCATCCATCCGATGCTCCAGATTAGGAAGCCCCCCGTTTCTGTAGGAGTTGAAAGGCGAGGGGCTGCCAGGAGGACTGAGGGCCTCTGCAGTAGCATATATGACCACGGCGGCGGCCAGCGTATCCTCAGCACGTCGGATTGATGTCTTTCGTGTGCGTCGTAAGGTGCGGGCTCGCTGTAGGTCAATCATATCTGCATCTGGAATCACGATGCCAGGGCTCGGCGATCGCTGTACTTCGACCTCAACAGTCGAGTCAGCTGAGGGGGTAGCTCGATATGCAGCATCTCTAAGCCCCTCATCAATTGTAACTGCTGGGTGCCTGAGATCGTGCCTCACATGGCCCTTGGACGACTCGCCTTCGGCCTGGAAAGAACGAGGTCTGGGGGCTATCTCACTCCGCACGGCCGTCGCTGAAGGATCGCCCTGCATCTCCAAGGATCGATGCCCTAGCGGTGGGCGAACTGGCACCTTGGCCGGTTCGCTTTCAGCACGAGGAGGCTGGGGCCGTTGAATAGGCTTGGCGTCCACTGGTCGGCTCGCGGCAGGGATGAAGATGGGATCCTTGGTGTAAACTTCTGTCACGGGACGAACCCTGAGCGATCTTCGTGGCCGCTGCTGTTGTGTCAGGAACGTCCGAGGTGGCTCAGCGCGGGAGAGGCGTGTTGATCGTGAGGTAGAGCTAGACCTCTTTGGACTCTCTGGTATACTAGCAACTGCTTTGCCTTTATCGCGCGAAGGGATATCAACAACCTTGACAGCCATGTGTTCAGGTCGGACGAGTTCTAGAGGTTTCACCTCGGCGGCTTGCACGGGCTTTGGCTCCGAACCTTGAGTGTCATCCGTGTCAGGAGTCTTGACTTCGTGCAACATGTGATCAGACAAGTCTTGATGGAAGCCCTCCACTAATGGCAAACGTTGGTCTCGAAGGCCAACGAACGTGGTACGGTCATAGGACGACTCATCTCCAACCCCCCTCATTCCCTCTGATGAAGTTGCATAACTAAGAGCCGATGGCGCTTCAGACTCGGCACCGTGCACTGGTCGATCGTCCTCAGGTTCACTCTCGGGCCACTCAGGGATTTCAGAAGTGGTTCTTTGAATCGAGATATTTTCAATCTCACGAGGCGGCATTACCTCAGAATCAGTACCGTCCACCCTAGCATTTTTGGCTTGACTTGATTCTCCTTTAGACATTGGCTGTTCCACTGCTTCAAGCTGGTGTGGTGCAGAAATTCTGTCGATGCCGATGGGGGAGATTTCTCTCGAGGCAGGGAGGTCATCGTCGCTCTCATCATCGGTCACAGCTGTCGCTGTCATCTTTCGATCCACTTCGTCATCTGTGGAACTGGCGATAGATCTGCTTTCGGTTTGGAGTCCATTGTCAGAAGCGGCTGGCAGCTCGACATCCAACACACTTTCCAAGGATTCGTGTTTATCCTGAGGTCCACGATCCTGAACTGTACTAGGAGCTTCCACCATCTTCTCGGAGTCAAGATAACCGTGGTTTGGCTGAACAACAGATACGGCAGCAGCAGGTATTCCGGCATGTTCCGATTCATCGCCAGTAGCAAAATATGAATCGTCTTTGCTAGGAACTATCTGTGGTAAGGACGATGGTTCAGTTTTAGCTTCGTTCTCCGCCCCTTCAGCCTCGGATTCACTGTCGGCATCAAAGTGGCCGAGCGGTCTATGCGGGACTGGGGCGTTATCAAGCTGCTCCTCATCCACAGACTCAGGCAACGGAGACCTAGAAAGATTGATGGATGATTTGGCTTCAGACGAGGCTTCACCCTGGGCTAGCGCCGGAATGGTAGTCCCAGGCTCCGGGTTCGGAAGACTATGACGTGGAGAGTTGGGCTGGGACTGATCAGAAGAAACTACCTTTTTTTGAATATCTGTAGCCACCGACAGTGCTGAAGCAGAATCAGACAGGTTGAGCTCCTCAAATTGATCTATTGCGCGATCTGGAGTGTCTTGGGGTTGCTCATCAACGACTGCCAGGTTTAGTTCTATACGTTCAAGTGGACCGGACGGTTCCTCATCATTAGAAGGCGAGCCACGCGGAGCATCAGTGGTTTGCAACATAGAGCTTGCTTCCAGTTCTGGCGAGTTGGCCTTATAGATGATATGAGTTTGGTCTACATCAGACTCGTCATCATCATCATCATTCTCGTCCTCGTCCTCGTCTTCATCACCAGGAACAAGGGCATGGGTTCCCACATGTGAGTCTTCCCTAGGACCATCTTGAGCTCTCAAGCTCAGCGAGTCGTGCTCTGAGTCGGAATCGTTTTCATCAGAATCAGAAACATCCTCCTTGATGATAGTTGATGAAATTATGACTGGTGGGCTTGGATGTCTTTCGATAACAGATTCATTCAATTTCCGAACCGAGTCACTCGGCATACTGATACCAGTTGCTGGCTGAGGTTCAGCTTCAGAGCCGGCTTCAGAATGCTCATCCTCTGAGTCATCCTCGGAACCAGAGTCATCATGATCACTGATCTCCTCGGCAGCATCTTCCAGTTTGAATGATTCCGAGTGCACCACAGCAACCGGCTCGTCTACCCCGGGAGAAATAGGCTCTGCCTGAACTTGTTGATTCTGGTGACCTTCAAGCGAGATTGCCTGGTCGATTGATGGGGGTCCGGAGGCAACACTCTGTCGATCGAGGCTACTAGCATCATCATCTGAATCGTCGTCTGAAGCTATGGCTTTTTGAGAGATACCAACAGGTTCAGCGTCTGTGGAAGCAGATGGCTGATCTCCGGATCCAGACCAGATTCCAATAACTTCATCTGGTGAACTGGCGCGTGAGATGGCATCAGATTCTTCAAGCTCGCCAAGGGGTGTCTCTTCCGTCGAACCGCGTTTGCTGGACTGGGTGGCGTCGTCCAAGATTTTGGCATTTTCTTGAGCTTCAGTGGGCTTGGCTACCTCTGACGGCCCTAATTCTTGGACGTGACTTGGAGCTGCAAGTTCTTGCATGTGCTCGTCCAGTGTCGAAACATCATTATCAACCGATTCAGCCTCTGAATGGTCTGATTCTTCTTCCTCTCGCGCTTCTGGCTCTGCACGCCTCATAGCTGGGTCTTGGGTCAATTCTCGCGACGTTTGCAACACGTTGTCAAAGTCGGTTTCGAGAATTTTGGGCTCATAAGAGGTGGGTTCTGGCGTGGGGATGGGTTGTAACAGCCCTGGAGATGATTTATCGGTTTCTGCTTCGACGCGGCTGGCACAGTCCTGACTCTCGAGAGGCTGCTGCTGGAGCTCATCGGCGGCGGTGTGTGAGTGCACAGAAGTTTCTGAATCCTCATCAGAGGTTATCGAAGCTGCCGGGGATGAAGATGTGCTGCGTGCAACTATGGATGGCAAGTCTGGCTCCATTCTCCTAGATTTCTCATTTTCATCATGAGCGTCCTGGGCTGGCTTTGAGTGTGATTCTTCGCCATACGTCTCGCTCTCAGTCCCAGGTTGCTGAGGCTGGGGCTCGGCAATCGTAGTTGGGTCTTGGAGGCCAATATTTACAGGTACTTCAGTAGCAATTTCCTTGACGACGCCCCGTGATTGGTCTGCAAGGCCCTGTTTGTGTGGAGCATCTGGTGTGGAGATTTTAGTGCTGTCATGGGCTTCGGTGGCTGGGGGACTCGCGGCCAGACTGGTATCATCGGTAGCGTCCAGGTCCATAGGCGTAGACAGAGGCGTCAGACCTGGTTGAGGTACATGTCCTGAGATCGACTTCTCTTGGACATCATCTAGAATCTCGGCCTTCGATTCTAGGGGTGCGGAGTAATCTTCCGCTGCTGCAGTGCTCGTTTTTTCGCCCGAGCTAGGCTCTTGTAACCCTGGCATCGTGGTTTCTGTAACAGTTTGGTTACTCTGATCGCCCAATGCTACAGCCACTGGTAGCTGGCTCGGGTGGTGAGTGATTGTTTCGAGTGCTGTATTCTCCTCGCTGGGTGGAATTCCTTGATGGTCCTGGGTATCGTCTGAATGTAACTCCAAAACGCCGTTGTCCACCTCTTCATTCAACTCTGTGAAAACTCCCAAGTGTTGTGCAAAATCAATAGGGGTATCGTGTAATGAACCATGTTCCTCACCTTTTTTAGCCTGTCTCTTGTTACCTGGAATTGGCCCAAGGGTGTCTTTGCTTTCTTCATCTTCCTTAGCCTTGGCCTCTTCCTCAGCTGTGTCCTTGACTGGTTGGCCGTCCTTCTTTTCTGCTTCAGCAGGAGGCACATCAATAGGCTCATCTAGCGACTTGGCCGTGGTGTCTTCAGTTCCTGTGGCCGCTTCTTCAGTAGGCCTAGCTTCCTCCTCTGGTGCAAGAGGCTCATGTGTTTCCGGTTTCGTCTCGTCCTCAGAGATCTTGAGGTCGTCAGCTGGCTTGCCATCGGTAGAAACTGCATCCCCGGTTGCTGCAGGCATCTGTTCTTGGGCCGATATCTCTTCCGGTACAGCTGTATCCTCTGGCGTTGGGAGCTCTTCGGCAGTTCCAGCAGCCACGGCAATCTGGTTGGTTTCTTCCTGTGCATCTGCGGGTGGTGCCTGCTTGGGCTCGTCTTCAGCTGCGGGTGCGGGTGCGGGTGCGGGTGCTTCTTCTGCTGTTTTGCCATCTTGGTTAGGCTTTTCCTCAGAGGCTGAAGGGTCTTCAAGTTGCTTGTCTTCGACGGGTGTAGCCTCTTCCTCTGGTTTGCTGTCAGCGGTTTCAGAGCCTTTCTCTGGCTCATCTTGAGCTGCCAGTGCTTCCTCGGCCGGTTGATCTTCAGGTGCTGCTTTCTCGTCGGCCGGCTTGATCTCTGCCTCTGCCTCCGCTTCCGCCTCTGTCTTACTCTCCTGGGAAGGTAATTCTGTAACTGGTTCAGCTTCTTGAGATTCACCACCGGCAGTAAGCTCCTCCGCTGGTGTCTCTTTAGCGGGCTCTTCTTCCTTGGGTTCATCGCCGGTAGGTATTTCTGGAGTCAACTTGTTATCGGAGGGACCAGTTTGTTCTTCCGAATTATCATCTGTGGCTTCATTGTCGATTGCTCCGGGGGCTTCCACTGGTTTGTCGTCAGTAGTAAGGTTATCTACAACTGACTCCTTTCCAGCAGGGTTGGTTTCCTCCTTGGCTCCGTCTTCAGCCTCCGGAGCGCTAGTGCCTGGTTCCTCTTCAGAGGTCTGGGCAATTGCATCCGTCGCCGCTCCCGCAGGTTTGTCATCAGGTGCCTCATTTGGTAGATTAGTTGCAGTATCTGAGGACTTTTCCATGTCATTGGGATCAACAACAGCTTCGGATGCCTCCTCTGGATGTTCTCCCTGAATTGTTGCGTCTTTCTCCACTCCAACCGGCTCAAGCGCCTCGGCCGCTGCTGCAGTTTCCGCTTGCTTCTCGTCAGAAGTTTCAGCGGCCCTCTCTGTTTCGTGGCCGTTTGCAAGTGTTCTTTCAATTGGTTCTTCTTCAAGGGTTCTGTCTTCTACTTCTTCTGGTTTGCTTGGCACAGTCTCATCTGTTGTTCCTGTCTCACCAGCTGCAGGTATGGCCTCCTTAGGATCGTTCTCGGAGGTACTGGTATTATCAGCTGCCTGTTGTGCAGGCTGTGGCGCATCCCGTTCTTTGTCGTTCGAGGCAGATTCATCTTGGTCTGTGTTGCTAACAGAGTGCGTCGATTTATTCTCCATCTTCTCGTTTGAAATTGATGTCTCTTCAACCGGGTCGGTCTTCTCTTCAGTAACCGTTTTATCGGATGCTGATGGCTCCTCCTCGGGGGTTGAGGTACTTTCGTCCGCTGTTTTGTCGTCCTCTGTTGGGATTGCTGGTTCTTGGTTTTCCTCGTCGTTTGCATCGGGTGTACTTTCGCTGTTGCCCTCTGCTTCTTTGGTAGCTTCAGTGTCACTTGTTGATATATCTTGTGTGACTTCTTCGGTATCTTCCTTTGGAGTAACCTCTACCTCGGGGCTCCGACTTTCGCCATCCTCAATGTTGACTTCAGCCTTCGCCTCATCAAAAGTAGATACGCTAGGAGTGCTAGAATCCTTATGATCCTCCTCGGAGTCTCTCTTGGCGCCGATGGTTTCGTTTGGTGTCTCTAACTCGGGATCTTTATCGGCAGTAGGCTCAGAAACATCAGCAGCACCAAGCTCGAGAGCAGGTATATTAGAAGTATCTCCCTCGTGGGTGTTTAGTTCTTCTGACTCTTCTCCTGGAGACTCTGCATTGGCCTCGAGTGCTCCAGTCGTTTCATCCGCTGTCTTTGGCGCCTTCTCAGCGACTGGATCGGACAATTCGTCTCCTTCAGCATCATCTGTTGATTTCTCTGCTGGCAGTGGTTCAATCGCATCATCAGTGGGAGTTTCCAGTTCATCGACTTCCTTTGTGGATATTTCTGGAGTAGGAAGCTCATCCTTTGGCTCCGTGGCTAGAGGTCCAGTAACTTCTCCTTCTATCACCACTGGCTTATCCTTCTCGACTGGTGCTGGTTCTTGTACGACAGTTTCAACTATCAAGTCACTGTTTGTATCCGTACCATCCTCAGGTGGCTGTGTTGTCACTGTGGGAGGGGTGTCACTGTTGTCTGCTTCCTTAGACGTAGCTTCAGGCTCGCTCTTCTCCGCTAGGCTGTCGCTTTTCGCCCCTGTAGCCGCATCTTCAGGCTCAGCGTCCTTTACTGCAGCATCTGTATCGGGACTGACGGTTGGTTCGGGTTCTGCAGCCTCTTTGGGAGTCTCTGTAGTAGTATCAGGTTGTTCGTCCTCCTTTTCCGATGGCTTCGACGACTCTTCCTGGGTCTCCTCGATCTCGCTAGTCTTTAACTCAGTTGTGTCTAATTGCCTGCCTGGGATGTCATCACTTGAGCTTCCACATTCCGGTGTCACTTCAGCTTGTTCCGTTTTGAGATCAGCAGCAGTTGGTTCACCGCTCTCTGGTTTGTCAGAGGTATCGTCTTGGGAAGCTTCGGCTGGGGTGATTTCGGCAATAGGCACAGTTTCAAGCTTCGATTCGTCAACAATCGAAGTATGTTCGGTCGGTTCCCGCTCCTTGTTCTCTGGGTCTGAAGCGTCTGCTTCCTTGTTGCTGGGGTCGTCTGCAGGTATGTCCTTGATCGGCTCAGCATCAGTTTCGGCTTTTTGTGGTTCCTCCTTTGCAGGGGCATCTTCAGCTCCAGACGAGATCATGGAGCCGTGTTCTACATCGCTACCAGCTTTCCCGGTCATATCAATAGCCTCCTCGCTCTCTTCTGTAGGTTCCATCGTGGTTCCTGGGAGAGCGCCACTTGTAGTTGTAACGACAGTTGCCTCAGTCTCAGTGGTTGCTTCCTTTCCAGAATCTGCCGGCTTCACAACCTCAGATTCAATACAGCCTTCTGCCTCCATAGTTTCATGATTGGCCTCTGGATCATCGACAGGGCTAGGCTCATCGGCTAGTGATTCCTGTGGAAAAGCTTTGGGTTCAGCCACATTCTCAGAAGGAATTTCGTGGGGTTCGGTGGGAGATTCAGCTTCAGGTTTACTGGCAGCTTCAGGCTCAGAAACAGAGTCGACCGCAGGTTCTGTAGCAGAGTCAGGCTTTACGCCCTCTTCAGCCGCAGGCTCAGTCGACGACTCGACTTCTGGCTCGACAGAATTAGCTTTGGCAGCAGCAGACTCAACAGCAGGCTCAGGCTGAGGTGTTGCGACGCCGCTTTTCCCGCCTTTCTTCTTTTTTTTCTTCTTATTCTTCTTTGCAGTGGTAGCAGTTGTGTCCTCAACAGCTGTTGCGTCTTCTGTCGGCCTTGTTTCCTCAGAGGCCTCTTCTTTGGATATTTCCTCCTTGGGCGCTTCATCCTTAGTGGTTTCTGCTCCTAGCCCAAGTACTTCAGCTGGTTTGGCATCAACCACCTGTTCCTCTTCACTGGGCTTATCTTCTGGTGCTAGAGTTTCCTTGTCGTTCGATGAGCCAATTTCCGTCTCAGGAGGTGAAGGAGCATTGCCGCCATCTGGCTTCTCGGCCTCTTCAGGAGGTGACTCGTTGCCGCCAGAAGGTTCCCCCGTAGCAACAGGAACAGCCGGAACTTCGGTTTCGACAGGCTTAATATCAACATCAATAGCTTCTGTTACGTCGGTGCCTTCCTTTTCGCCAGTTACTGTTTCCTCTGGCTCGTTCGGCTCCTTGACTTCGGCAGGCACTTTGTTATCTCCAGCGTCCTCTGTCGATAGTGTTTCCTCGGGAAAAGACTGGTCCTTCTCGCTCGCAACAGCCTTGCTCTCCACTTCGGCTGTTGAGTCTTCAGCTGGTGTCTCTTTTGCGGCAGCATCAAGTCCTGCCTCCACGGCGCTTGTGTCTACTGATGCTAAGTCATCTTCTGATTCGGCTGGCTTGGTTGCTGCAGCTGCAGCTTCATCCCCCGCAGAATTATCAGATTCTAAGGCTGCTTCGGGAGTAGTAGCTTCGTTCCCCTCTGCGGCTTTATCATCAATGGAATCGCCCATTGCTTTGGAAGTTTCGCCCACTTCGGGAGTCATACTGCCCTCGTCAACTTTGGCAGCCTCAGGAGCAGCCTCAGCAGCAGCAGCCTCAGCAGCAGCAGCCTCTTCCGTGGACAGTGCAGGAATAGGTTTTGGATCTGGTCCCTCCTCTTCTGCCGAAGCTTTCCCTGAGTGATCTAGCTCAGAATCTGATGGCGGATTCGGGGGTGAAGATGATGTCTCCTTTGCAGGCTGGGGCTCATCCTCAGGTTCTAAGGCTTTGTCCTCTGCTAGAATTTCACTTGCAGGCTTTGCTTCAGGCTTCGGGTCTCCTCCAGTTGTCAGTTCTTTGCCAGGTGCCAGTTCTTCGGAAGAGGAAGGTGTGTCTTCCGTAGGACTGCGTTCTCCTTCGGGATCCGCGACTTTTCCTTCTGCCGGGCTCTTGTCAGTGTCCTTTGGGTTCTCCTCAGGAATTACTTCTTCTCCTGGGGTCTCTTCCGTGAGCTTTGGTTCTTCGGCTGAGCCTTCAACTACAAGGTTCGCTTCCTCTATTGAAGAAGCTTCTTCTGCAGACTTCAGTTCTTCTGTCGAGGTTTCCTCTGTAGGTTTTGGCTCCTCCACTGGAGCTTCATCTGTATGATTCACTCCCTCTGTTGGGGAAGAACCTTCTGCAGGCTTCGTTTCTTCTGCCGAGGCTTTCTCTATGGGCGTTGACTCATTGACTGGAGTCTCTTCTGTAGGACTTGAATCCTCCGCTGGAGCTTCATCTTCAGCCTTCAGTTCTTCTGTTGGTGCAACCTCTCCTGCAGTCTTCACATCCTCTGAAGGCTTAGGCTCCTCTCCAGAGTTCGCTCCTCCAACCAGTGTCGCCTCTTCTGGAGGGGGAGGCGTCGCATCCGCAAGTTTGGAATCAATGCCAATTTCAGCGTCGCTGTTCTTCTCGGCCGGATCAGCTGTCACACTTCTCTCCCCTTCTTCATCCTCTATGGCTTTTGGTGAATCGGGTGTTTTGTCCTTGGAATTATTCGCATCTTTCGATGAAGAATGTGAGTGTTTGGACTTGTGATGATGAGACTTCTCGGCTTTTGCAGCTGCCTTCTTCTTCTCCTCTTTCTCCTTCTTTTCCTTCTCTTTCTTTTCCTTCTCCTTCTTCTTCTTCTTCTGACTTTTGTTTAGAGGTTTTGCTTCGGCGGCAGCTGTAAGCTTGTCATCTCCATCATCATCATCATCATCATCATCCTTCCCCGGTGCCCTGGATGTTTCTGGCTCAATTGAGTTTTCATCCTTAGCTGGAGACTCTTCACCAGCAGGAGCTTCCTCTGCTTCAGGTACCCCGTCTTTGGAAGGCGTTTCCTCAGTCGCCGGAAAATCTTCCCTAGAGGCATCCGTTGTAGAGGGCTCTTCTGTAGCCTCTTCTATTGGTGTGGTCTCTTCGAGAGCTTCTTCTGGAGCAGGTGCATCTTCCTTGGCAGATACTTCGTCGGCCGTTGGAGTATCATCCTTTGGTGCCTCAATCGCAGGGTCTTCTGATGCAGAGGTTTCGACTGCGGACTTCTCACACGAAGTGCCTTCTTCGCTTGCCGGTTCATCCTTTGGCGCGTCGTCTGCGGGGTCTTCTGGAGCTTCCTCTTTGACAGGTGTTTCATCAGCCTCAGCGGCCGGTGCATCAGTCGAAGGGGGGTCTTCCTTTTGGGATGCCTCCTCAAGGGATGTTTGTTCCTTGGGTGTCTCCTTGCCGTCAGTGTCCTTGGGGGCTTCCTCTACCTCTTCCTCCTCCCTCTTCGACGCCATCTCTTTTGATGCTGTCTCTGGCTCAGCGACCTTTTCTTCCACAGCTGGTGAGTCTTCGTTATTAGCCTTGTCCTGTGTTCCGGCCAATCCAGGTTCTTCAGTCTCCTCCTTTACTTCCTCCTCTACCTTCCCCGCCTCCTTGCTCTCCTCGGCAGTTGGAGGTGGGAGAACTGGCACAGGAGGAGGAACTGGAAGAGGCTTTGAGTCCTTTTCCTTCTTTTTGCTCTTCTTGCTCTTCTTCTTGGCGGATGTTGTGGCTGCTGGGGATTCATCATCTGCTGGAGCTGGGGCTGGGGCTGCTGGGGGGTCTGGTGCTGGAGGCGGCACAAAAGCAGCTTCTGCGGCTGCAGCCGCCTTCTCTCTTTGCTTTTTTAACTTCTTTTTGTCTTTCTTTGAAAGTGGCTGTGATGGTGTAGGTGCTGTGGGCACTCTCATTAGTGATTGTTGTGTGTATCCGCCTGTAAGTAACTCAGTACAAAGGGTGATGGAAGAAAACCATTAGCATTAAACCCAACTCACCTTCATGTTCATCCTTTCCAGGATCATCCTCCGCATCTGAAAATTCGGGTCTGGAGTATTGGACATTTGAGAAATCGGAGAACTGTACATGCCCCCAATCAATTTGTGTCCTACTACCAGGGTAATAGTCGTAGCCGTAGCCGTAACTCATACTTTCTCTACCTTGTCCGCAGCTGACATTACGAAAAAATCTCAATGATAAAAATCTGGGGAGCAACTCTATTATCTTGCTTCTTGCAGCACGCCAGTCAGGCAATCGGGTAGCTGCAGTAGGGCCACCAAGTATTAGGTCTCTCGAGGCCCTGAAGTCGTTAAGCCTCCTACCTACCTAGGAAGTAAATGGGTGGACAAATGGGGGTGGATAGTCTAGTCGTTGGGTCGGGGTATCATGCGGCGCACTGCAGGGCGCGACAGCTCAGCAAAAAATATGGCAAATACGTCTATTGGACGGCACCAGAAAACAGAAGGGTTGTGAGCTCAGTGACTTTGATTTGCGAAATGCAAGCCTCGGATCATAACGGGCGAACGGGTGGGAGGTCCGGAGAGGTCATTCACGAGAGGTATTCTTGAGGCGAGCGATGGATGGGTCCATTTCCCTCAAGACAGGACTGTTGGAGAAAAAAGCATGCAGGCCTGACAAAGCCCAGTCTGATTGCCCAGTCCCCTGCTTGTGATGGGCCACAGGCGCCCAAACACCAAGGATTACAGCGAGTGCTGCATCGTGCCCATGCGCAATTGGCCCATGCAGAGCCAACGTTGGCTGGCGCCACGTCGCTGGGGCGGTTGGGTTCCATGGATGGATGTATGTATCAGTACAGTAAGGCGAGCCTAACGGGGCGGGCCATCAGAGGACTCGACGAGGTTGAACAATGATGCATTGATTTGATTTATCTGGCCAAGTGTCGATGAGGCCTATCACGGCCCAATAATACCCAGGCCCGGATAGCAGAATCAGTACGGACCTGCATGGACGGGCCGCTGCCAGCATGACAATCAAGCAACCCCGAGTCAAGCAGCACGAGTGACAGGCAATCATGATGCGATGCGTACCAGGCAGGCAAGATTGCAATTGGGCAACAAGTAGAAGACCAGCTTTGTGCAATACCGGTCGGCTTGCTTGGTAACATGGTGGATATCAGAGCCTTCAGAGGTAGAGGAGGGCCGTCGTCGTCCACCGCCAGCTGCAAAGACATCTGGACTGGCTTCGATATCGAAGGTTGTCCGGACCCGCCATCCCCACGCCAAAGGCCGCTCCTAGCAGGCGGATCCCGGTACGGGCCTCACCAGGACGTCCCGGATGGAGGACGGCATCTCAAAACCTTGGATGACTTGGCAGGTCGATCGATGGTGGATGGCTGCAACTGAGCGGTTTAGTTGCTCCAGATGTGCAACGTGGCTCGCTTTTGAAGCTTCTTCTGGCAAACCCATTATGCATCTCGATATCGGAAGCCCTCGGGCCTCAGATATGTATGTAGGCCATTCCCCCTCGGTGGGGGCAATTCATGTCAATCATTGTCAATACTCAGCATTTTCAGATACGACCTGGTTACAACGCATATCTCTCCATGAGACGGCGCCCAACTCGTTTCACGCCTGCTGCTGACTGGCTCTTCGGATTCAGGCTGCTCGAGCCTGATTATCTGATAGCATCATATCATCCACCCCTTCCACCACCATACCGTTGTGACCGTTGAGCAACGTTGCCGTCGACGCTGTAGGCGTCGCGTGAGCTGAACTTGAGATGTAGGGACAACAGCATTATCAATTTGTATGCGCCCATGTCCTGTGTCTCAAATAGAGAGGCCCACTTCATAACACGGAGCTCTTGTTCTTGCGTCCCGTATTGATCAATCAACACATGCACCTCTGAATCCATTAACAGCCTCCACAACTTCCACCGCAAGTAGCCAGTCTTGCTTTGTAACACAAACAAGATCTGTTCCTGGCAGTAGCGTCATGGGCGGTAGAAAGTTGGGGAGAGCGGTGAGTAAGGCTACTGTAAATGGAGAGGCTGGATCGTGAAAAGTCTTGACCAAGGCTCGGCTGCCAAGGATTGATAAGTGGCAGTTGGAGAGAAATACGAATGGCTACAACCAACATGTGAACGGACCTGGGTCGCTTCACGACAGATCTTCACAATTTTGCTTTTTAGATGGCATCAACATATAATTCATGAGAAACAAGGCCCATAGCAGCTCTAGGTATTCAATTTCCAGTGTACCTAATTGCTGCTTCTTTCAAGCCTGTCTTAGCAGGTAGGTCACCAAATTCGCCTTGTGAAAAGGCAGAAATTGTTGTGACACATCTTTTGAGGGATCATCACAGGATTGCACAAATATGTACGATGCACAGGTCTCCGAATGACTGCAGAAGAAATGCCATATAAATCATGCTTTGTTGACAGCTTTTTTTTTGTTATTGGTATCTCACATCCTGTAAAAGACAGACACAGGGTAGCTAGCTTATCTTCACTATGCTTGCATCCTCAATATCCCACAGTCCATCTTAACGCTGTCTCATTTCAAAAAGGTCAGAATTCGCTGGCCGGCGATGACGACAGGGTCGCCTCATCGCACCTCTCGCTGAATCAAACCATTGCACTGTGGCAATTGTAGCCTCAAAATCTCATGCGATCGTAGACGATCCCATTCTGGTTCATGCTGCCATAGGCCATACCGTTAAAGCGTGGTCCGTTGTTCCCGAAACCATTATGGAATCCGTGATAAACTCCGTACGCGGGCAAGTTCTAGGCACCCTCGGTGGCCTTAGGCTCAGTCGCACTAGGGGCATAAGAAGCTTGAGCTCTGTTCTTCTTGATGACTTCTTTCACTCGTTCCTCCGCCTCATCCCAGTCCTCGGTATCGAGCTTGACCAAATCAATACCATACTGCTCGGCAATCTTGCTCAAGGCATCGAAACTTTTCTTATCGTAAACGAAGCTGATGCTGACTCCGACACGGCCGAATCGACCGGTTCGGCCAATACGGTGCAGATAGGTCTCGGCATCAGGTTCAGTGTCGCCTCGTCCCTTCATAGGGATGTCATAGTTGATAACCATGGACACACTGGAAACATCGATACCACGAGCCAAAACGTTGGTGGTAATGAGAACCTTGTTCTCGCCCTGGCGGAACTTGGACAAAAGATCATCTCGCTCGAATCCATCAAAAGCGGCGTGGAGTGCAGAGACCTTGTGGCCATCTGCTACCATTCGTCTCTGAATCTCGTTGGCGCTTTCTCGTGTCTGTGGGGGGTTAGAGCAGAGGTCTGACGATAATCAGTACCACTTACCTTGACGAAGATGACCGACTGGCCGATGGTCATCAATCCGTAAAGCTTGCAAAGAATATCATATTTAGTGTTGTCGTCTGGGCAGTCGATGAACATTTGAGAGATGCCCTTGACCGTGAGCTCGCTACGCTGCAACTTAAGACTGTGGGCGTTGGGCGCGAATTTACCGGCATACTTCATGACATTTTCGGGGAAGGTAGCAGAAAAAAGAAGGACCTGAATGTCCTTGGGCAACATGCTATCAGGTTTTAGCCTTTCGTCAATATGCTCCAACTCCGTGGGAACTTACTTCTTGACCCGAAGGCACTGGTCCCCGAGTCCTTGCTGATCCAGCATGTTGTCGGCCTCATCAAGGACAAGGACACGGAGTTGAGAGACATCTAACTGTCTGCGTCGAATGATGTCCATCACCGTACCTGGAGTACCGACAATGACACTAGCTCGGACGGGTTCTCCACGAGGGAGGGCACCGGGGATCGCGGCAGCAACCTTCTTATTTTCGATAAAGCGGCCGATGGCGTTGACAACTCCTTCGATCTGTCGGGCCAGCTCTCGGCTAGGTGCAAGAGCAAGAGCTTGGGGCTGGTCAGGTTTGCTGAAGTCAACTCGCGACAATATCGCGGTCACAAAGGCAGCGGTTTTGCCAGTACCAGACTGGGACTGCGCCAACATGTTTCGCGGCGGATCGCTGAGCATCAGCGGAAGTGATCTGCCTTGGACCTTTGAGGGCTTCAGAAAGTTAAGGCTAAGGAGGCCCTTCAGAATATCTTCGCGGCTGAGATAGATATGTCAGTGATGTTTCTACCAGAATGAGATGATCACATACAGGCCGAGATCCTGCCAGGTGGTGGCCGAGTGGAAGGGCGTGGCTTCATTGTTCTGAAGCTCGCTCAGGGAAACCTCAACATCCCATTCAGGCTCATGGAGACCAGAGCCACCGAGGTCCTCGATGTTACCGTCGGCTTGGCCAAGTTCGCCAGTAGAGGCGGGAGCACTGTCGGTGGGAGGATCCGCAGCAGCCTCATCAGGCTTTGTAATTCGGCTCGCAAGATCAGCCATGGCAGGTATTGTGTTGTGTTGTAAGAATACGTTTCGGCGATCGCAAGGTGAAGGAGATGAGTCGGTACGGTGGGGGAGGCGGTGGTAAAGTCCTCGAGGCCCTGGAGCAGGCGCTAGAAAACAAATTGCCCGGCAAGATTACGATGGTTCCCTATCCTGCGCGAGCTGGCGCGGAAAAGGCCTCAGAGATGTAAAAATTAAAAAGATTGATGTAAGGGAAAACCTAAGTCAAGAGAAATACTTAGGTAAGGTAGGCAGGTCGGTAGGCATAAACAAAAGCTTATGCCAGTTACCGCGCGGTGATAGGAGGTGAATGGACTTGGAAGCTTTCTTCTCCAAAGTTTTGGCGGGGTCCAAGTTATTGGAGGGGTACATGCAGTTACAGCAGGTGCCTAAGTACCGATTAGGTGGAGTCCATTGACGCTTCTTGGCGACTACCGCTAATTACCCGGCGCATTTGCTCTGTCACAAGCTCTCACATCAACCAAACCTACTCCAGACTTATATATATCGAGATAGCTTCGACATAAAACTCAAACCCCAATTTATACGACCATCCTTCAAACCAGGAAATACTGAGGCTCGGCTCTTCAAGCTTTCATAGCTCGATACATCATACAATAGCTCTGAATAACAACAATGGCAGCTCCGCCGCCGCCACCTCAAGGAGGGCTCTCCCTCTATGAGAATCTACTGGATCCCAACGATACGTCTTCAACCTCAGCGACAATATCTTCAGCTCCTATTCTGTACAACCAAACAGAAGACACACCTGCAGAAACTACGGTCAAGAAACCTGTT